TTTCGGATATTTCTCGATAATCCTATTTTGAACATTTTGATTTTCATTCGTTAAACAAACCAGACTTTGTATATCCTGGTTCTGTTGTTTTAACCTGGTTGGCTTAAAAGGTCATCAACGCGACCAAACCATTTTGTTTTTATTATAAATTAAAATAAGAAGTATCTGATCATAATTTACAATCATATTTGCGTTTCTGTCTTATATGAATTACTTTGAAGATCAACATATGTAATTCTATTTCAGAATTCCTGGAAATATTTGTGTTAAAGTCTCGTTAAGCTGTCAATGCATTGAAAAACTAGGGAAAAACAAAACGATGTTGAAATGGTAAGGAAAGATGGAATAATGAAGATAAAGGTTGTTTGTTGATAAGTCACGTGCTGTTACGCTTTAGATCAGAAGGGTTACAAGCCTCATCATCTTGTTATTTTTTAACATTCAGAGATATACGATGGCCGATAGCGGCCGTCATATCTTACATGTACCTTTTTTATTTGTGCATGTACACACGTTATATCTAATATGTATGTATTTTTATATTTGTTTTTTAAAATTGTACATGTACACATCTTATACCTTATACCTATTAACATTCCAAAAGGCGGAGTAAAGCAGACGACTTCTAGTTGATCCATAGCTTTTGTTAAGAATATAAACCGGTCTATTTCAGTCGACATTATATAGAGATTCATTTTTGATCAAAAATAAAACTTCACAACAGAGTTTGAATATAACGCCAACAGGTCACAGACTTAAAGTATTGGTTGAATGATTTATGAGATAATGCAACAGACACAACCACATTACGTGTTACATTTACTCTAAGTCTGTGGATACCTTGGGGTTTTTTTCATTTAAAAGAAAACTTATTTCATTTGTGTACGTATAGTATAAACATTGGCCCTTCCAACAATACAAGCTCGCGTAAATCATGCAGTCAATACAAAGAATTTGTCAACAGTTTGCATATAGTATACATATCTATGTAAACTTAAACCTGTAAAATCAGAAAACCTGTATAAATCAGAACTATAATTAGGTCCCACCGTACACATTTTTATGTAAACTTCACCTGTGTAATCAGAAAACCTGCATAAATCAGAACTATAACTTGGTTCCACTATATACATTTCTATGTAAACTTAACCTGTGTTATTCGAAAACCTGTATAAATCAGAACTATAAATAGGTCCCACTTTATACATTTCTATGTAAACTTAACCTGTGTAATCAGAAAACCTGTATAAATCAGAACTATAACTAGGTCCGACTATATACATTTCTATGTAAACTTAAACCTGTGTAATCAGAAAACCTGTATAAATCAGAACTATAACTATACATATCTATGTAAACTTAAACCTGTATAATCAGAAAAGCTGTATAAATCAGAACTACAACAAGGTCCCACTATATACATATCTATGTAAACTTAACCTGTATAATCAGAAAACCTGTATAATCAGAACTATAACTAGGTCCCACTATATACATTTCTATGTAAACTTAAACCTGTGTAATCAGAAAACCTGTATAAATCAGATCTTAAACTAGGTCCCACTATATAATTTCTATATAAACTTAACCTGTGTAATCAGAAAACCTGTATAAATCAGAACTATAATTTAGTCCCACTATATACATTTCTTTGTAAACTAACAATGAATGGCATACACATAGCTCCGAATTTATGCATAACTACATCATGGATGTTTATCGAATCTGAGCAATCAGAAGCTTTTAAATTGTTTATTGAAGTTCAAAAATACTATTTAAATATTCCTGTTTTTTTTTTCTCCTTTTACGATTGAGCTATATTCACTAGAAAGCTGTTTTGTGGGATCAATTGATCTGAACGTGTAAGTACAAAAACAAGTAAGTTTAGAAATTATTTCTTGTAGGTTATATAAAATGATAGTTTCCGTATAAAGCCGGTTCATTGGTAGAGTTCACAAAAAGGTGTAAGATCACCTTCTTGATCTCACACAGAACGATTTGTTGGCTAATTGGCCATACGTGGACATCCAAACCGGATAATTTTATTGGAAGTAATTCTTGAGTTTCATATGTGTGAATCTCAATAAAATGGGACTTGTGACGTACCAAGCACTTTACGTTAAGTCATTTCCTCATTGAATTCTATGTTGATTTATTTTCAATAAGTCTTCCTGACTGTTTGTTTCGGTTAGATGAAATTCGACACACAACTAAGAATTGTCCGACATTAGTCCGTGGTGATATTAAAAAATATATTTGTTTCTTACTTTTTAAGAACTGCAACTTAAAAAGTTAAACACTTTTGCCAAAAGAAAACCCCGTTTAACGTTGTGGCCTATCTATAGGACGACGCCGACGACGCCGATGATGCTGATAAGCCTACCACCTGTGAACAAATTCTCATTACAATACAATCTTATTAAATATAATGTGTGAGCATCAGAACGAAATATGTTATGTTTTTACATTTGTATTGACTATGACATAGATCAGAAGTTTAGGTGTAGCTAGAGAACTACTCTTGGTATTGATCATTCTGTCATTCTAATTCTAGGGTGTAGGTTAAGTCAAAGAGGTTTTGTACCTGATAAGATTTTTACTGTCATCCAGGTTACAGTGACCTAATTTTAGTATACAACACTAAGTCGTGTCCCTGTTAACTCTCTGGACAAACTTTTTAATTAAACATAAATATATAGGTCAAAGGTAGAAATATAGGTCACAGTGACCTACAATGTAGTGTACGACACTCAAGATCTACCTATATACAATGTTTTGTGGTTTTAGGTGTGATAATAAAGAAGTTATATTCTGGACAAACCTTTAACTATTTTATAAATCAATAGTCAAATATAGGTCACAGTGACCTACTTTCAAAATTGCATACTCTCCCGACGTGTCCTTGTAGTAGCCTTGATGCACCAAGAAGTGATTATCAATTAACACTGTATAAGGATAGAGGTCAAAGGTCTCATTAAGCCAGTGTCCTATTTTTAGTATGTCCAAGTTTACCCTCCAGAAATGTACTGCATAACAAATATGAAAAAAATACATATGCACTAGCCAGAGTATGAGGTGTCAAACCTCTCGACACCAAACAGGTCAAAGGTCAGATGGTCACAGTGTACATTTTTCAGTATGGGACACTCTGCCATCCGAAATTATGTCTCTTTCACAGGTCTAGTCCTTTTATTATAATACGGACATTATAATCACGACGAATATCTTCAATAACAAGAGGCATAGAGGGCCTTATCACTCACCTGAATATTTAAGCAGTCAAAGCAAAATATTCTCATTAAATATTATATTGCACTACAAATATTTCCCTCGCAAACTTTGTCGGCTCCATTTGTTGAAACTACCAGCCAAATATTATTATTAAGATTCTATACTTTGGTTCTTCTTCAGAAGTTGTTTGACATATTTCCCCCTGTGACTTGTTAGTAGGTCAATGTCATTTTCCTTCTGAAACTTTGTTAGCTCTATCCCAAGAAGCTACCAGCCAAATCTTATGAATCCATTCCTTTTGGTTCTTCAGACCAAACCCTTTGAAATGTTGTTGACCTCTGTGACCTTTTAAAGTTGGTTGAGGTCATTTTCAATTGCGAATTTTGATGAGCTCTATCCCAGGAGGCCACCAGCAAAATATTATAATTTTATGCCTTTCGATTATTCTTCAGAAGTCGTTTGATGTTTTTGACATATTTGACACCTGTGACCTTGAAAGTAGATCAAAGTCATTTTCATTCTCAAACTTCGTCGGGCTCGATCCCGGAAAGCCACCAGCCTAATATAAAGATTAGATACCTTTCAGTTCTTCAGAAGAAGTCGTTTGACATATTTGACCGTTGTGACATTGAAAGTAGGTCAAAGTCATTTTCATTCTCAAACTTCGTCGGGCTCGATCCCTGAAAGCCACCAGCCCAGAAGTCAGATTCTATACCTTTCAGTTCTTCAGAAGAAGTCGTTTGAAGAGTTTGACATATTTGACCGTTGTGACATTGAAAGTAGGTCAAGGTCATTTTAATTCTCAAACTTTGTCCGGCTCCTACCAACAAAGCTTTCATTCAAATATCATGGCTCTATGCCTGTTTGTTCTTCAGAGGAAGTTGTTTAAAAGAAAGTTGACGGACAAAGTGTAATGTACAAAGCTTTGACAATGTGTAAAGGACAAAGCTTTGACAAAGTGTAATGGATAAAGCTTCGACAACGTGTAATTGACAAAGCTTCGACAAAGTGTAATGGACAAAGCTAAGAAAAAGTGTAATTGACAAAGCTTCGACAAAGTGTAATGAACAAAGCTTCGACAAAGTGTAATGGACAAAGCTTCGACAAAGTGTGATGGACAAAGCTTCGACAACGTGTAATGGACAAAGTGTTCTGGACAAAGCTTCGACAACGTGTAAAGGACAAAGCTTCGACAAAGTGTTCTGGACAAAGCTTCGACAAAGTGTAATGGACAAAGCTAAGAAAAAGTGTAACTGACAAAGCTTCGACAAAGTGGAATGAACAAAGCTTAGACAAAGTGGAATGAATAAACTTAGACAAAGTGTAATGGACAAAGCTATGACAAATTGTGATGGACAAAGCTTAGACAAAGTGTAATAAATAAAGCTTAGACAAAGTGTAATTGACAAAGCTTAGACAAATTGTAAGGGATTAAGTTTTATGGTTCAAGTTTAATTGAAAAAGTGTGAAGGAGGGTGTAATGTAAAAAGTTTGATGGTCAGACAATATCATTGACAAAGCGTAACGGAGAGATAGTTAGTGTGATGGACAAACAGACAATGTGTATTGGACAGAGTATGATGGACAGATAAAGTATGACAGACAGGCAGATTTATAAAAGTGACAAGGTCCTATAGTACCATACAGGATAACATCTTGAAATGACCTTAGCTGTGGATAGGATGTAAGGCTCTTCACCACCAATTCAGAGTTACTGATAGGTCTAGGGTAGGGAATCAATTAAGATATAAAGACACCAGACACTGTAATTATGAGTAGTTTGTACTTTATTATTCACAAATTTAAACAAGTATCTACTACAAGGTAAACATATATAATGATGTTGATAAACCCTTGTTATAATATACAGTAGTACACTGAACTAAGTCTGTACACAAGTGGGTCAACATTCACAGGCAGACACTTGTACAGGTCCGCCATTACAGGAGGCCAAAACGGGACGCCAACAGTGCTAGCTACGGCATGTTTGAGGGGGAAAAAAACAGAAACAAGTTAAAATAGCTTATAATGCCAACTGTACGAGTCTCTGCTACCTTCTTTAAACATGATCAAGTGACTGGTCAGCAGAGAATGACCAGTACGGTCACTCATTCACAAAACATACATGTGAACCCATCACTAAAAGGATGAAATATATTCCCAGCAATAAAATCAAATTTACTTAACGACTTTGCCTCTTCACTTACAAGCCAAGAGAACAGCCATTTCTTACAGGGAAATCAGTAAACCGTGTCACTAGGACCTATACTTATAAATACCCGTTTTTAGCACTTCCTCTTTACAATGTCTTATTGACCAATATCTCAAGAAGAACATTAATCCACACAACATGATGAATTCGACCCCGATCATGCAGAGGAAGAAATTAAAAATACAATACAGTTGACTGAAGCAAAAACTCTTATCATCCTGATGTGACCACTTGATCAATGATAATATATTAAAATTCAATATTGTGTACAAAATATTCCAAATGCATAATTTTTTTACTTAAAACAGTTTTCCCATCTTTAAAAAATCCCAATAGAACAGTAAATTGCAACTATAAAATTCACAAAAACTGATATTCCAGTAAAGATATCCTCTACTGTAGATTATAAATAATTAACAAAATAGCCTCACTTTCGTTATACTAAAACTCATTTCTATAAAAACCAAACATGTTGAAATTATTTTCTACTGGCCTGCAGACTTTCTTCTCCAATAAATCTAAGGAGACATAAAAATTACAAACGGACTATAATTACATGTACAATAGAACAAACCACTCCTGGCTGGGAACGTGTGGCTATTCCGCATTACAGCAGTGTTTAGTGTGGAGAGGTCGCAAGTCGCTACGGAAAATCTACGTATACAACGTAAAATTAGACAATTTACTTACACAACTGTCCCAATATATTTTTTACCAGCTTTCTGAAATTTCTTTGGTCTTCAATGAATGTGCAGTACCGACCAAAGGAACTAGTTTTTTTTTCCATACAAGAAATATTAACTGAAAAAGCACGAATCTGTTGCCATGACAATGCCTTTTTGTATCAAAAATATAATCTCCATCATGTTCTAAGGTCATTGTCATGACAACAAAAGCGATATTTCATAACGAGGGGTGAATGGAATAGAATGGACTGAATCGTATCTAAATGGTCTAAGGATGACCTAACCAAGCCTTTCATTACCAAAAAACGGAATATCTTAAAGTGTTTTGATTGTCTTTTTTTATGTACAGAAAATAAAAGCTTTAAACTGCAAAGAAAAATATTAAAAGCTACTAAGTAGAATGACAATATTGGGATATTCTGATTTTTTTTTTTTTTGGGGTGGTTTATATTTCAAACAATTAACAAATGTTATTTTTCAATCAATTATAATAATATTTCATATTGAAAATATGTATTTTTAATGGTTATAATAATATTTAATATTAAGGTATACGTGTCACCGGGTTGACAGCCAAACAATATTGGCCTGCATTGTGAGTAAGGCTCTACACCAAACATTTAACACACATATAAATAAACCACATCTTACCCACTTTTAATGGTGGAAATAAAAAGCACTTTATTTAAAAAAAAACACACATTTCCATGACTACGTGATATTAGAAAAATCATTGTTCAGGAAATGAGTATAATAACGTTGGATAAAATCTAGATAAATGTTTTATTTTAATAAATAAGAAAGTTTGTTAGGGTGATGAAATCTTGTGATAATACTATCGGCAGTACCTGTAGAGAAATGGCTTACTAACATGAGAAACTGACATATATTACAATCATATGTCAGTAAACATAGTTACAATGACCTACATTCTACATTTAGTTTTGGTTAAGATGAAGTACACCTCCTTCCTCCCACATATGTGAAATAAAATGTAGTCAAATCCAGGAAATCCTAATATTCACTGAATCTACACTTTTCAAATTAATTGCTTTAATTTCAAATGGTTTTTTCCTGATTACAATTTAAACGAAATAAGGTATCTTCAAGTCAAGAAATCAAAATAAAAGCTTAGGCAGCAGAGTCTACACATTAACATTATGAGGTAATGCAGACATTCCCGTGAACACCTGCTGCAGTAATATCAGTAGGAATATGACATGGCACCATTGTTGATAAAGATATGGAGACTGACCTACATTACAGAGCCTGAATTAAACAATCGGCAACCTACGAGTTTGCTCAGTCATAAGAGCACAGCTGCTTAGTTTGAGAGGGATCCTGGTATCAGACAAGCTAACAATGATGTATCTACAGTACCATACCCATCCAACAATGATGTACTACAGTACCATACCCATACAATACAGTGTATATACAGAACCATACCAATACAGTAGTGTATCTACAGTACCATACCAATACAGTACAGTGCCAATACAGTACAGTGTATCTACAGTACCATACCAATACAATACAGTGTATATACAGTACCATACCAATACAATACAGTGTATCTACAGTACCATACCAATACAGTACAGTGTATCTACAGTACCATACCAATACAATATAGTGTATCTACAGTACCATACCAATACAGTTCAGTGTATCTACAGTACCATACCAATACAATACAGTGTATCTACAGTACCGTACCAATACGATACAGTGTATATACAGTATCGTACCAATACAATACAGTGTATCTAGTGCCTTAACACTTCCTTAGGATTTCTTTAAGAATTAAACCTAAATTAATGAATGCAGGAACTACAACCCAATCAAAACAGTTGACTTGAATTTATGAATAAACCAAAGGTCAATGTCCACAACCAATGAAAAACCTTAACTTTAATCTATGCATGAACAAAAGGTTAATTTTCACAGTTAACTGCTAATTATGCATGAACTAAAGGTCAGTGCTGCCCCTGCTGGTATGATTGGTCTTGCGTGGCCACAAAGAGAAAAGATAACTGCCGTGATTTCATTGTACAGTCAAGGTACATAAGGCCACATTAATACGCTTATTTCTTGAGAAATTTGAAATTATTTATACATTTAAAATTTTTAACCTGAGATTGAAAATAAATTAACAAATCACTGAAACAAAAAACAACCGTCTGTGAATTCAAAATGAATTAAAACTTTTACAGGTATGCTATTTTGTTTCCAATTATAAAATTAAATCATAATTTGTACACATCATAGCTACACTGTTCATCTAGTTTTTGTCAACTTTCATGTGAGCATTAGTCTGGTGTGCTCCAAGTGGATCAGGAAGATACAAGATTATATAGATATCTGTACAAGGCTAATCAATTGTGCTTTCAACCCATTCTCTTACTAAAGAAAATAAAAACAAATTTAATGACCTGTTATCAATGTATATCGTCCTATGCTTGACCCACCAATATAAAGGCCCTGGTCACAGATACTGGCTTAGAAGTTCTAGGAGGATCAGATTCTGATCAAGATTTAGCAGCTTGTTTAGAGGTAGTTATGTTTTTGTTGTAACCAAATCATACAATTGTTTGAAATCCTTTAATTAACCCTACAATGTTTCCTTCACAGTACTTTCGGTCCTTCTATGTTTCTGCCATGAGGCTCTATGGGGACATCACTCTGGGTTATGTTGTTATATGGTTTTTAAGTATTGGAGGGCTAGTATGAAATTCCTGAGATACAAGCTGAGCAATTATCTGTTTAAAAAGTTTGTTTTACATAACATTCATGTTAAATTAATGCTGATGTTTTTTTATGATATTTTACAGAAAATGCAACTAAGGACAGAACTGAGGACCCGTTTCCCCAACATCCCTCAGCCGGCTCACATTTTCCCCTTGATATAGATTTCGTCTTCGAGTTGTCCTTTACATATTGCCAATTCCCTTTGTTGGGCATGTTATTCGAAAATTGGTACGAATACAGCAACATAAGGGACAAAATGGGCCAGTCACCAAGCTTCTTTCCTTTTTTGAAACATAACTATTAAACAGACACTGCTGAAATTGATAGGCAAAAGCAATAAAACACAGAGAGTAAGCCAAAGTGACATTTGAAATCAAAAGTATCGGACTACTAAATATTTGAGTTTTGTTATCCTTCAATTTCCCCTTTTTGAAAAGTCCAGACCTCTGAAACGAGCTTGTAATTATGGGCCTTTGACTGTGTGAGAAGGAGGAGAAGGCAGATTTGTATAACCCTTTCACCCCTATGTAACTTTTAAGACTCTACCATGCATTGATATGGATGAGTCCATTATGGTCTACAGTGGTGAAAGGGGGTAATAATCCACTGAATTTTAGACATACAGGACAGCTGCGTGTCTGACAAAAACAGGCTGCTAGAAATACAATTATTTTTGTTTTGCTTGTTTGAATGAACATGTACAGTTGACTTCCTTTGGAAAAAAAATTACACTCATGATTTACATATTGTGGGTTATTACGGTCAATCTTGCCAAAGGGCCTTTTTTTGAGTCAGATAAGTTCATGAATCTAAACAATATTTCCTTAATTAAAAATATAAAATTTTATCGATAATGTATTTCAAATGGTTGTCTTTGTAATTAATTCTTCATTAAAATTAGAACTTGTCTACGCCTAAAAACTACTAGGATTCCCCTGCAATGGAAACTCAACCAGACTGATGTTTTTATCTTGTTTAACTCACTTACCCCTGAAATTTCATGATTAACTATAAATTTTGAATTGAAAGAGTTAAATTGTGTCTTCAGGGGTGAATAAGTTAAATCTTGTATACCTTTTTCCATGAATTTCAGATGTTTGTTTTAAATTTTAAGTAAACACAGCGGTTTGGCTAATAGACACACAGTCTTCTTTCAGTTTAATGGTTTGTGATGTAAAAGTTGTAACTCATTCCACATACCATACTGTAATGTCAGAGTTGATAAGGGGAGGTAACTGTGCAACAGATTAAACTCTGTCATAATTCAATACGCTGAGCAGAATTCTAAACAAGCCATGAAATAATTTACATCGTGATTTTTGACTGTTCTCAAATGCATAAATATAACTGTTAAAATAGTCATTTGAAATTAAAAGTGATATGACAAAACCCCACATAATAATATGTCATTCAGATTAAAAGAATGATTTCTTTATACAGCATCGTATCAAGACAACACATGAAATAACAAATACATGGTATTATATCACCACAACTACATATTTGTGTCATTTTCCTTTATCCATTCCACACATTTTTCAGTTCAGCTTCATTACACCAGGCCTTCACAAACCTTCCTCATCTGATGCTTTAATGGAGTTACGGAAAATAAGTAACAGAAATTTTCCGTATCTCCAGAAAAGCTTTCCATTCTGAACACACCATCAGGGGTGGATCCAGGATTTCGTGTTAAGTGTTAAAAAGATATCTGCTGAGGTCATGATGTTGTCAAGTGCAGGTGGTGGTGGTGTGGGATGGTTTAGTGAAGAAACTACCAAAGTGAAAATCAAACAACCAAAAAGTGTGGGCTTTCATCCTTTGGGAGGAAATTATAGAAAAATTTTTTAAAGTGCAGTCCCCCTGATTCATCGCCTGGATCCATCCCTGAACGGGTTTCAAATCAAAAGATATTTTACTCGACAACAGCAGAAAACATGTAGATTCATAGACCTATATTTTGTTTCTGCTTATTGTTTGAAGTAAGACATCACCAGCATTTCCCTGTGGATACAATATATCATAGACAGCACTTGTTATTGTAATGGCATGAACAATGCGCGACACAACGTAGTAGACAGTCTGTACAGAACAATAAACAACAAATACTATCTATTCCTTTAAGCCTCTAGTAATCTCCTCTATGTACAATGCTAGAGAAATAAATTACATTTTAATGAATAAACAAATATACAAAGGTCTGACCACTCCCATTTCTAAGACATCGTTTATTCCTAAACAACAAAATAGTTGACACTTTAAACACATTTGTTGTTTTGTAATCTTTTAAAAATGTCTTAAAGCTGGAATATGTGGGGGAGAGGGGGAGATTTTCATGTCTGGCCAAAATTGGAAATTAGTTACTGTACTTTGCATGGCTTACAACATTAGTTTCACAGTAAGAAAAAGTACAAGAACATTGGTGTTATCGTGATTAATTGTTTCCGTACAAGTTATTTCACAAGTTGATTAATTGATAAACATTTGTGTTCTACTTTCTGATGCATTAACTGATCTATCAGGTTCCCGTTGTTTGTCTACCTTCATCATTCTCTAATAACAACAAAAAGTTCCAGATTGTCGTAACAGGATTACACCTGTGGTAGGTGTTTAGCCATGTTCACTCTAAACTGATCTTGCTCAGCCGAATATATCAAACAGAATCAATCTTCCAAACAAAATACTTGGAATTTCAGATATGTATCATCCTCGCAAACTATCTGATTTACATATAATTTGCAAATAGGTTTTTAAGACCAAATCACGAGGTATATAAATCATGCCCTTTACATGAGGTATATTTTAAGCTCAAGTAGTTTTGAATCTTAACCAGACAGAAGTTATATAACAAGATCTGTACATCTTCGTTACATATTTTACACGTGTACGTATTCTAGACAAAGGTTGAGCTCCACGCAGGATCTTATCAACTGATGATGTTTCTATTGGTCATAGTATAACAACACTTACAAAGTTGATGGGAAAAGGAGTAGTGGGGAATCAAACAAGAAACATGCAATCATAAATCCTAAGTAAATGTATGAGGTATTTATGTCAAATATCAGCCATGATGATGATGATGATGATGATGATGATGATAACTCATGATAATGATTTTCTGAGTGATTGAAGTCAACAATCGGTGTCAAGTTACCTCCCCTTGGTTCTATCACAATTTCATGCTTGGCATTTGTTTAATTCTTTCACACAGACTTACTTTGAATAGGACAAAGTGCATTACCACTGCTGCCACGAAAAAGAGTATGATTTCCACAGCAGATTGTATTAGGAGCAATGCTTCATGGCAGAAATCTTTTGGCATAAGTTGTAATACCTGAATTTGAAATTTCCAATCAGTGTGTTCCAGTGCAATTGAGATTAAGAAAAAACCATGGGATAACAAGACCATAAATGACAGCTACAACAACACAGCAGAGAGCCTAGAAACACAGCTCTATGGGATGTCAAGGAAAACGTACCGGAAACAAATACATAAAACCCATGATCCAACTCGGCCATAGATACATACATCAGTTGATCAACAGCAGACACCTGTTCAAATACCCAGGAACGCCGCGGAACACTTGTTCAACCGGTTCAAAAACACTTGAACAAATGCTCAATGTTGAATCAATGATGCTTGAACAGTAACATGATCATTATACATTTTCAGAATGTTCCTGACGAACTCTGAAGTTTCATGTGTAGACAGGTCTGGTTCTTGTAGCCACAAGCCCCTTGAAATGAAATAATTTCTATGCACTCATAACATTAATCAGAGTGACAAACAAAGGTAATAACACATTTCTGAACACTTTTTTAAATTTATGATGTGTAACTTTACATTTGAACCAAGAGTCATGTCACTTAATATGAGGTATACGGACACTGACCTCTGGTCTACATCATGAAACTTCAAAATTTTGCATGGCAGCCTATATTCCTTATGAACAATGACACAGAACTATATGCGTCGAACAGCTTTTTTGTTTTTGTCACGTAGAACATTTTCTTTTCTTCTGAAATGCTTGTTTTTGAAATCAACAGTCTCAATCCGTAACATATAGCATTACTTATGCTATAATCTGGATGTTATTCCTGGACCCAGCGGTCAGTAGATCAGAACAGTCCGTCCTGCACGTTCTCTACATTATGTCCATGGCTGTCACACACACACACATATATATATATATATATATATATATATAAATATAACTGGTCGTCTCCTCTTTGTATAATGAGAGAGGCGAGATCCCACAGTGTCACGTAGCTCCTGAGGTGGGATGTGTCTGCTAACACACACACAAAGACTGAATCACAAAACTCCATAATTCATCAAGCGTCCCTGTCGCTGTAGCAATATGATTTGAGAAGCTCTATATATATAAGTTTGTATTGTAGCGTCCTTTTTCACTGCATACAAACCTCACTTTCGACATTCCTCTCCCCTCCCCCTGGCACTGTCCGCACAGCCGTTAACTTTCCCTCCCCGTCAAGTCTGTGATGTAATGTACAGCCCTTCCCACTCCCTTCCCATTTGACTTGCACTGCCCTTCCCTTTCCCTCCCTCATTCAATCAATTTGTCTTTACTATCCCCTCCCCAGTTTGGCCAAGTTTGAGCTACGATGAGATGGTAGATATCTGGTAGTGGGTTGTTTCCTGGTTGGGACAGAGTAAATGGCTGGTTGAGTTAGATACGTTGAGAGTGCGGCCTATCTGCAGCAAGCGTTCGTGGACACAGTCAGCCGACACCCGTGCTTCTGCATCCTGATCCCAACATTCTTCTATAGTGGGAATCAGAGCCTCAAGTCCCTGTAAGGTAAGAAAGTCAAACATACAGCTGGTATCTAAAGAAGACAAACATAACATAATTACATTTATCATATGAATACTGTGTTATGCAGTGTCATAAAACCATCACACGAATTATGTTTATGTAACATGTATAATATCACTCTGGAAATGACGTCACAATTGAATAGGAACAATCAATGTGATGTCACCTCATTGTGAAGCGGACACAATTTTCATCGTTCAGAAGCGGCAAAGTGCAAAATATTCCTTTCAGATCACAATTATACATCTTACTTTGTATTATATGATAAAAAGAATCGGTCATTTGTTTCCCTTCATATTAGATTTCTGATACTCGTTTTGGACTTTTCATATTTGCTCGCAAAAACATGAAAACTTGTATCATAAATCTAATCTGAAGGGAAACTTTTGACAATAATCATGTTAAGTATGATTTCAGATGGTCTAAAAACACCCACCGCATGTCTGATCCAGTGATCCTTGACGGAGGGGCGAATCTTCTTCATCACCACCAGCTCCTGCATGTCCTCCAGAGTAGGATGTGAGCCTATCTCCTCCTCATATGGTAACTGGTAGTCTTCCACCGGGGCGTCCGAGCCCGAACACCGCGACATGAGTTCCCACATCACCAGGCCACATGCGTACATGTCAATACGCAAGAAAGCATCTCGGTTAAAACTGATTGCACCTTCCAAGACTTCCGGCGCCATGTAACGCCTTGTTCCCACCTGCAATGTAGTTATTAAAACAAAATGCAGAAAACAAATCTACTGATCAATTTTTCAAACTATAATGAATTTTTTTCTCATCACATGTGAATTTCTAGTAGGATAGACATTAATAATTGTTTACTTTTTCAATTTTCTGTTACTTTTTCTAGATCTACAGACAGATAATGAGCCTCTTTTAAGAGTCTTATATCTACTGCTTAAGTTTCGCCTTAGAAAAGCTGGTCTTCCATAATGGGGACAAAACATCATGACAGCAAATATAGGTACACAGCATACAATGTAGTACAGCGACTTTTAGTGAAATCAACATTCTAAGAAAGAACAATTCTACAGAAAGAACAATTCTAAAGATTTTACCTGTGAAAGGGGAGTATTTGACTAAACACAATTTTCCAGGTTTTCAGTGTTCTTTTATCAAATAATCTAATATTATATATGGAAGTTAATGACAAAGATTTGACCTATTAACTAATTTAAGTCCAGGACTTTCACAAGTTTCTGCTCCGCTAAAAAAAAAGAAAACACTGAACAGACATACCAAACCATGAGTCTCCCCTGGGCTTTTGCCTGGTTCAAACTTGATGGCCAGACCAAGATCTGCGATACAAGCTGTCAGGTCATCCTTCAAGAGCACATTTTTACTCTTGAAGTCACGATGAGCTATTGATGGTTTCCCCTCCAATCCGCGAGCTACTGGGATCTCATCGTGCAGATAGGCCAGGCCGTTGGTCATGGATTCCGCAATCTTGCAGAGCTCACTCCAGGTGATGGTATTGCCTTTGAGGTAGTCGGACAGTGATCCAAACTCGTGGAAGACCGAGATTAGCCAGAGGTTCTCTTCACGCTTTTCTGCTCCAATAAATGCAAGCAGATTGTCATGCTTCATGTGAGGTAGCTTGTATATCTCCTGTTCCGTCATCCACGATGAACGCTCCTTAAACGGCATGATTTTAACAGCGACCACCTGATCAGTCATAATGCCTTTCCAGACAACTCCGAAACGTCCATGTGCCCGGACTTCCTCCAGCTGTACTGGCCGAAGAGGGTGTGGCGAGGGTGGGAGGTCAAGCTCAGGGTCACCAGTAGACAGCTGGTGGTGCTGCATGTATCTACAAATACATCAACATGAACATAAACAACACATGACAATAGATCATTTCAAAACAAAAAAGGAAATTTACATCAGTCAATTAATCCAAACCTTATTGTTTTCCAGACAATTTTAGGAACTGAAATATTTTTACTACCAATTCCGAAACTTACAATATCAGATTTCTTTAACAAAAAACAAACTTGTCTGTGGAATCAAAATTGACAAAGCTCCCCTGCATTCATCAGATTAAATCATTTTCTGGGGATTGATCTGAGGCAATTGATGCTACAATGAATTGATCATATAAAAGTCATACTGTATTGTAAAATCTCCTAGCTTCTTTTATATTCAAATAAAACCCAGCTTCAAATTATGAATACACCACATAATTGACTGTTTTCTCAGCTTTAGTTTTGTGTAAGCTATTATACAAAGGCAAGCAAGTGAAGCCCATTCACAGGCCACAGACAATCTGCTAGTGTTTAGTTCACCTGTTGTCCTTGAAGTAGAACCTCCACATAAAGAACACGCCGATGATGATTATGACGAGGACAATGATAGGAACAATGGAGTAGAGTAAAGTTTTTAACAACTTGTCCTCCGGAGGATTTGTCTTTGTTGATGAGGTATCTACAAAAAAAACAAAGACATTATATAAAAGCATTTCAAAATATGGACAAAATTCACATATACAACAAAATGTGTCGGCCTTAATAGCAGAATTTTGAGTCCTGTGCTCTTATACATGAAACCATTATCATGCTCAAACTCTGATTCTGTGCTCAAGCCCACTTTCTTGTTCAGGTAATAAATTAATAAAATTTCACATCTAATCAATGATTTGGAAGAACGTTTGAGAGTTGTAATCTAGAATTGACTTTTTGACCTTGTTACATGATTGACTCATTCACCCATTGAAATCTCAATATGAACTATTCCAACCATTGAATTGGAAGAGTTCATATGTGTCTTCAGGGGTAAATGAGTTAAGCAAGAATTTTAAGAAAGCTGGTTTAAGGATAGAATCCATGCTTAGACTTAAGATATTTTGGATTTCTCCTCTTTGATGGTACTTGGAACTCGCACAGAGGTTTTTAAAATACTTATCTGAATTATTTCAAGAAAAATCTCAATTTTGACAACATTGCTTGGTTTTTAACCCTTTCACCACTGTAGACCATAATGGACTCATCCATATCAATGAATGGTAGAGTCTACTAAAGTTACATCGGGGTGAAAGGGTTAAAGTGCTGCTTGATATGAAACCTCAAATATGATACAGTGGAATCTTACACTTCAAACAGTTTTTCCTGGTTTGGGATAACGAGCTTATAAGACAAACTACCAAAAATACTGGAATTTGAGAGCAGTGGGCCACATCAGTAATAATGAAGTTAAGACGGGCCATTATATATGTAAACTTAAAAGAAAATTGGAATATGGAGGAGTCAATGGCCCTTCCAGGATTATTCCTGCTTTTATGTTGACATTACTTTTCTTGAAAGTACGAATCACTTTACCTGTACCTGTCGTACTAGGTGTCGACGTGGGAGGGTAATTTATCGGGGTGATGTCCTGGTTACAAAGCGGTTTGTTACAACAACAGAATGGCACGCTCGTGATCTTTTGACTCTGGATACAGTTCTCCTGGTCACACATATCCTGGTCGGCCCAGCAGCCCTGTTTCATAATGTCTATACCATTGGAGGTGTTACGCCATGCCGTGAAACAGTGCGGCATCTCAGAGTCACATTCCTGAATTGTCTCGCAGTGCTCGATACTACTGTTACACTTGTCGTCTTTATACACTACACATCGTAACTTTGGCACTTCGGGCGTTTTCCCTTCAATAGTCGAACCAGCTGTTGACGAGAAAAATAAAATTATGTACATGTTTAGCTATGGTCTGGAATTAAGTAACATCACTAAGGCCAACATTCAAAAATGTTAACAAAATACAATTCAAACCAAACAAATGTTTTACTCAACTATGTTTGATATTAATGCTGTCATGTACATGTGAATATATCTTAAAATATCATAAAATAATATATATACATTAAATAAATTCAGAGAATTAAGAACCTATTGCTCCTTCGCCTGTTGCGATTGAATATATTTTAAGATGTTCTCGCTTTTACTCAATACCCTGCCTCCTTTCTGGTATCCAGACAAGGAGCAAAGGACCAAATTATTCCACCATTAAGAAAAACATAGGGTTGTTTCTACTCTTGCCTTGTGCATATATCTTGATGCAATGTTCATACATAAAGCTTTTTAACAGAATAATTATTATTAAGTCGCTAAATGATTGTATGCCTCATGTATCTACCTGGATGATCCGATGTCTCCTTCAAATCATGTTTTTGCTTTTGATGGTAATTTATTGAACAATAAAACCTACTTTGGACATTGAAGACAGTTATACTGTATCAAACATTTTGTTTAATCAACAAAGGCAACAAAGGAAATCACATGGAAATTAAACCAGATTTATTTTACAGTGAATAAAATGTGAAATTCTGATACAATTATCAGTTCTTTTAAGACTAGTTTCATGTCTGTATCCAATTATACATAAAAGCTATAGATAATAAGTAAGCTTTGGTTACAATGAATACTGTTAATTTTAAATAACCAATCACCTAAATCATCTGTCACTTATAATGCATGTCTGAAAATTACTTACTGTTGTCAAAACAGCATTGAATAATTCTATCAACTTATCAATACCACTTATTTAATACACAAAACAAAAATAATGTAGGTCTTTTAAAGTTTAATTGAATATCTTTTAAACATTTACAACAAATTTTCAAGAAACTTATGCCAGATTCAACACATGCAGAATGCGTATATATTTTCCCCAAATAACTACTCCATACAGTATATTCCAATGTGATGCCATGTCACATTATGAACAATCAAACATCTATGTAACACATTTTAAATGCATATATATATCCGACAGAATTGTTGGAACTTAACTTGCAACAAGATGAGGTTAGGTTGTATAGAAATGTAATATCAATATCCCAGCTTTATAATTCATAGGAGCACAGGGGATATTAAGGAAAATATATCTTTCTATAATGAAACCAGTATCAGTAATTGCTATATATATATATAATGAGGATACAAATTACATACAAATGACTTTTATAAGGTTTAGTGAGTTGAAGGGAGTAAGGGTTAATGTTGGCAAGATCTTACGCTTATTGGACGAAGAAGAAGATCGTGGGATCAGTGCCACAGTGGTCCGAATATGAAGGAATAAGGAATGACATTAAGATTTTGTTGGATAGATGACAACAAGAATGACGACGACTTCGGTTACTTTAAACAATACAAAAACGTGTACAGAGTGTTTAAGAATAAAACATCTGATCTGTCACACGCATGTAAATTAACACGTGCATGTAACGACCGGTGTTTACATTCGAACGGGGCCACACGTTGTGAACTGATTTGACATCAGAATTTAGGCCGGGTTATTTCCAAAGATTTCGACATACGAGTATGTCAGATGTGTTTTGTAGCATGAAAGCATTCCAGTTGAACATATTATTAGCTCAGCAGTGTCAATCTATGAAACTTACCACTTATTTGAAACGATAGCGCAAGACTAAAAACACAAAAGATCGGGCAGAGCCTCTGAAACAAGTTTTGCGAGTTCATGGTTCAGCTCGAGTATCGATCCCGTTCTGCAACAAGAAATCTAGTAAATATTCTTTCTTATTGCAGAATACGAGTCTCTAGATAATCGTTTAAAGTCATATTAAAGGCTGTCTCCCCAGTCTTCGTTGTTCAACACAAATTTCCTTTTTTTCTGCACGTAAAGCCGAGAACTCTGTTTACTTTTATTCCAATATGGCTGACACCACTCTGAGTTGCCCGGATGTTGTTAATTGTTGAAACTAAAATACAAAGACGAAAAGGATTTCCGGCAATGTTACCCCGTTTAACCCTTGGTAGAGAAAAAATGTCAATACCATGATTTACGTCAGAGATAGGAACAATACTATTAACTTCAACTTGGAAATATATTAATGGATACTTTAAACTCTTTACTGATATACAAATTAAATGAATCCTTTGTAAAGATTTTAAATGCGTGCCCATTTAAATGCCAAAATGTCCCGATTAGAAAGCATGGATTCGTGTTTAGACGTGCATTAACAAAACAACGGCCTTTGCATTAAATAACAATCATCAACCCATATCAACTGATCATGTCTAGGGTTACTTAGCAAGAATTCGACAATTTAATATTCATATCCAGCTTCAATATTGAACATATCTACTTGAATTCGTGTTCAGTTGTCCACCGACCATTTACAAATAAAAAAATATTCTGAGACAAATTGTAAGCAAAGTATGAGAAATTAACGAGTTAATACATGTTTTGTAATTCTTATCAAATACAATGAAATATATTTTTACCCTCTTTTCTCATTGGGTACGTTCTTGTTTATATATATTTTTCTTTTATAAATTTTCCTTGCTACGTTTTGCGTCATATATTTTACCAAATTTTGCACGCAGTTGTAGCTCGTTTTATTAGTAATATTAATACACATTTATTTCTCCAAAATTACTGACATCTAATTTGTTGATCTCCGTACAAAATTTGAGCAAGACCCGTGTTTCTGCTTAGACCACGGAATTAGATGTTATCTAAGTCCGTGCTTAGACACAATATTATATTTTGCCGTAATTTTTTGTCCAATTAGCTTAGCATAGTTAAATACTAAGAAACCGATCCTTATATAAATTAAAATTGTCAAACAGATGTGATTAATAATTTTCTAGTTATGTGCAGAATTTCATCAAAATGGGATATATATATCAAAATGTTTTTAATACGTCAGCTCTTGTCCGATCATCTTTTTATTTATTTATTTATTAATATAAAAAAAGTGTTATAAGACACAGTAATAAATGCCTACTATCGTTAGCAATAAAGTTATATCTGATTATAACTTACTCAACAGGATTTAAAACAGTTTCCTTATCACTAGATAAAGAAACACACAATGCCCAAATTGCAACGTTCCAGAATATTAAATCAAAGTCTGACTTCTGAGACCTGCTACAGGAAGGGTCATAATGATCCGTCAAAAAGAACAATTGGAGATATTTTTGCATCAAATAATATTATCATTATTAGGTGTACTTGCTTTTATTATGAAACAGAAAGAAATTCCATAAATTTTGTTTGAGTTGTTTTTAAATCATGTATTTTTTTCTAGAACATCTACAAGTCTATTTGCATTAGAAGACGGGCACCTGCTGATTGGTACGCTTAGAGTTGTCCCCCTTGGGTCAGTGTTTTCGCTTGGCTATTGTCGCTGTCTGCTGGCCTGGCAAACGAAAGCAGATTGCCCATCACTGGGGTGGCTATTGTGCTAGCTGTAACCATGTTTTTGAGTCATCAATAAGTATCCGTCGTTCACGTGAATGTTTATACAGGAACAGTGTTACGTTCTTGGACGCCAAATTGCGACGAAATTCTAGAAAAAGGTGAGACCACTGTGTTTGTAAAGGGACATAGATCTTGCATTTGTTGAAGAGCGTGTATTATTTTAGGAACGCAAGCTCGCTGAATCATTCTCAGCATCGCACGCGAGGTGCTGTCTTTGTGTTATAGGATGGTGAATGGTTCGAACAGCTGACTGTTTAATCTCATTCATTTAGAATATTGCTTTGGCTGTCTCCGACACTTGCAATGCCGAAATGTCAAACGTAAATGGTAGATTTATTTACGGTCGTTGTTTACACTTCACCACAGACAACACGGATTTTTTTTTTTATGAAAAATGTAATATTCAGTAGCTTGATTCGTCATTAATCAATATCCTGCTAGTTTTGGACATTATTTCCTCAGACAAATGTCTCGATACACTAGCACTAAGCAGACGGCCAACTGACAGTGTTAGTCTTAAGTCTAGTTTCATTGTTTACAGGTTAGTGGTCTTTATTTCAAGTGACATACCGGACAGAGGATCTTTATCATACTCATTTGATTATCTATCTAAAAATAACTGAAAAATCATGTATATTTTCATTCCATGACAAATACGATTGCTTTATAACTCTGTCAGCAAGCTACTGTTATATTTCTCGAATTTTGTGAAGGACAAAGGAACCAATCACTGTCAGTATACATATATATTTATATATATTTTAAGGAAAATCTTCATTTCTAGGGTCACCATGAAAACAAAGAAATAGTCGAGAAATGATGAAGAATTTTACGTGATTAAGTCTTTAAGTACAGACTGATGTTGTGCAAACGCATGCCTATTGTCATTGTGGCACTTTTTAACACATACAGCAAGTTGTCACGATGATAAAATATACACCAAGAACCCAGTTCTTGTTCATTATAGGTCTTCATAGCCACACGAACACACACTTCAAAGCTACTTGACTTACTTATCATACTTAATCATGTTTAGTATGTGTATTTGAAGGTTATAGTGAATGTTTTTTATTTCCTGCATGGTAAATATATAGGAATGAACGTTTGTTTTTGGCTGGGTCCAACAAGTTATTGTCTTGTGGTCACATCTATAGGCAAAGTAAACAATATTTATGCAGATATATGTTGAATGTCAATTGTGTTTGAAAAAATTCATGGAAAAGTTGTGTATAAAGATATCGAACTAGGTCAAACTTTACTAGAAGCAGTGCCATTCAAGACTTCTTTGAAAAATTCACGATAATTGGTCCGGATCCTGCAGATATAGAAAAAAAATACAGGAAATGTAAGTTGAATTTCCTAAAAATCTTCATAAAAATTAGCAGGTTAACGTTTGACAAAGTGAAATGAACTGGGGTCAAAAATACTACAATATTTGAAGTTATACAGAGGGGTTCACTTTACAATGAGGGGGTTTCGTATTACCATACTGGGCTCATATTTAATACCATTGGCTTCACAACACCAGAACATGTCAGTCTTTTTATAGATTGCATTATAATCCAATGGCAGATGGTGTACTAGTATGTAGTGGTGGTATTATTCTGGGTCTATAAGAATAACCTGAGGTAATAGATCCAGATCTGGTTACCTAAACTGAATTATTGAAGGGGCTTTATGGATTGTGTGTACATGTGTGTTCAGGTCTCAGCTGGTTTGTATTGTAATTTAATGTCAAAAAATATAAAAGAAACATGGTGTTTACAACTAAACTATTAGGCTAGTAGAGTTGGTAAGAGTGTCCTAAATTTGGATCTGTGTCCTAGGCCTGGGTTCAAATCCTTGCATTGAATGATCATTGCATTTTTCCTGTTTTAGCTGTGCTACTCTATACCTGGAAATTTCAAAAACTGTTTACCTTTTCACTGATTTTCACTGGTGTAATCCATTTTTACCCTGTGCTTATTTTCGCCCTATACATGTATTGACTGTGTGACAGGTTTTAATTGTACATAGGATTAAGGTCGCCTTCTAGCTTCGAGCTAGAGGGAAGTTCCCTTTAGCTCAGTGGTAGAGCATGCATCCGACTAGGAACCTGGAGATCATGGGTTTGATCCCCGGTGGAAGCACACTTTTCTTTCCTATTACATGTACAACTGTATTCATTGTCTTGACAAATTCGCTGTTTAAAAGTGAAGTCTGAAACTGCAGAGAAAATATTGTGACACACAATAATGTACCAATAATGATTTGAAGATAGTTTAGGGAATCGGTCTAGAACAATTGCAAGTGGCTCTGACAGTTGGTTGGAACTGTAACTGGACTGGGTCAATCACCGGTGACCAGGTTAAAGCGTCCGTCTAGAGCTGGGTTTGAACCCCGGTCTCGTTTGGCATTTTCCGTTCCTGTTGCATTTGGTGCCTACGACCAACCCCTGTATCAAGAAGTATGGGTAAACTTGACAAGAGGATAAGCGGCAAAGACTTGGAATTTTCCCACTCTTGTTAAAGAACGTCCACTGTCGTTGGAGGTTCCAGGTTTTATTCCTCGTCTTATGGTCACATTTTCAGTTTTGTTTGAGCAGCACAGTCTTGCGAGGCATTTATAAAAACATGTTTGCAAAATATTTTTCAAACTAAGACAGGCTATCTGCTTCCATTTCTATCTTGGTGGTATTTGGAAGCAGTAAAATTATTTCCAAATCTGATACATGTATAATTTCTTTTTTTTGAATTAATATATTAGCAGAGCTATTATGATAATAAATGCCTTTACACAGATTTGTACAGTAGGTGAAATGGATGATCAAAATAATTACACCACAGCAGGCCTTAGCCTGCACTTGTTGCTTCTACCAAGGCAGCTTAAAAAAGATTAAACAGTTTATAAAAAGGAAGTTCTGATATAATATTTAGTGGTGAAGGATGAATTGGAGATAAAACAGATGTCAAGTGGCTTTGGCTGTATATAAATCCCTGTACTTGGAGGTTTTAGCTAAAGTGACAATGCACTATAGATATAACACTGATCCTGACACTACCAGCCCAGGGTCACATCTACAAGGAGGAAAGCCACATTTGTTGTATTAAACACCCCACAAACATAGGGAACCGTCACATACTGGAGCTATGGACCACATAGCTGTAGACACTTACAGCCATACATCTGTAAGACAGGAAGTTAAATGTTGCTGGGTTACCATTTTTTTGTCTACAGGGTACCTGCTGTACATAGCCCATTGCATGTTACGAGAGACCAAGAGACCAGTCTGATGCCCCTCTGTGTAGCAGCAGTTGATGCCCTTATCTTTTCTTTGTTTTTCCACCAATTCTTTCTTTGTGACATTCTTATAAGTTTTGACGTTTGTGTTGGGAAGAAGTAAAATGTGAAAAAATAAATTAATTCAGAAATTGCCAAGTGCCCTGTACATGTGTGCTTATTAGATAGAATATGATAAGAGACCATTTAAATATGTGTTAATTGCAATGCAGTGCATAGCCAAAGCACCTGCACCGTCAGCCATGCAGAACATTTACTACATGTGTAATGAAATTCTGCTGATGAAAAGAAAATCTGAATCAATATTTTCTAAAACGTGGAGCTTTGAAATTGTGAAGTCCTAACAGGTAGGCAACAATATATTACACGTAGTATACAAGTCAGATGTTTAAAGTTGTACTGAAAAGATTTTCAGCACACAGCTGTAACAAATGCTCTGGCTTCTGACCCTGCGTGTCCTTGTTAGCAATGACAAATAGACCAGTTTTGCAGTAGGACAGACCTCTGTCATGTGAAAGACTCTATTGTTTGTGAAAGATGACTTATCTGGTCGTAGTCGGCTCTGTGGTTTATAAGTGTGCTTCTAAACGAAAACTATGACAACATTCCTGGTTTACCTAGGAGGATTTGTGTATTTACCTGGTCAAGACTAGCAACCAGGAACCCCATAAGTGATGTGCTGGTTTGTGACACTGCAGCACTGTCAGTGTCATCTTTGATAATGTGACGGAATGTAACACTTAAAAATGTGAAGTGTTATCACTGGCAATGTGTTGAATTTTGTGTGACGCTGCAGAATTTTAAAGTCGCCAATGACTCGAGATCACTCTCCTATATGAACCATATACAATTATTTGATAAAATAAAATTTGTTACCTTATTATAACTTATATTACCTACCCTAAATTTTTCAATCATGTTACTGGAAACACATATATTTTTTTTGTCTGGCCAAACCACTGGCAGTGTGTTGGATTGTAATTAGCACACTTTAGGACTTGGAGACAATATATTGATGGATTCCAAAAACTTTGATAGTGACAGTAGTTTTCTTAAGATGATCATCCTGATTTGTCTGTTCTCAAAACGACACAGCTTGTTAAATTTTCCGCAAAATATCAGAAAGGAAAATGTAGAAGAAATATATTTCATAGAAGATCTATTGAACACTTCATTGCAAGGTGATTCACAGCCAATCATTGTGCATGAGTGTGCAATTCTGAACCCCTGATGTAACAAGTAGCATGGCATCAAAATTTATTGCATTTGTAATTTTGCAATCAGACTTCAACTAGTGCATTATTACTATGATCGTGAAATACAGTCACCTCTGGTAGGTTGTAGCATCATTTGATATTCTCATTCACGTTGTGCTCGATTATGACGCAAGGTATACATAAGTAGGGTGATTGTTTGGTTTGTTTGTGCGTTACATCCCATTAACAGCTAGGGTCATTTAAGGTTGTGCCAGGTTTTGGTGGTGAAGGAAAGCCAGATTACCTGAAGAAAAATCACTGACCTGCAGCCAGTACCTGGCGACTTCCCCACGTAGGCCTTGAACCCGCGACCCAGTGTTTGAGGGCTTGTGATCATAGACTGTCAGACGCCTTAATCACAACGGCCATCCAAACCCCAAGTAGGAGGATGAAGGTCACAACAATAAAAAATAAAGTCATAGAAAATGAAAATTATGGAAATTATAGAAAATAAATCATGATTACCACCTCTTTACTTCAGAAAAGCCCAGGCATATATAGTACATAAAACATTTTAATCTATGCTCCTTATAAAAAAACTTCAAATCATAGACTTGTAGTTG